GGGCTAGAGTGCTGTGGTGTCCGCCTAGCTCACAGCAACCTCAGACTCCTGGAGCTCAAGCCATCCTCCTGCCTCAGCCTCCCAAGTAGCTGGAACTAAAGGCACTTTCTACCATGCCCAGCTAATTCTTTTGTTTGTTTCTATTTTTAGTTGCCCAGCTAATTTTTTATGTTTAGTAGAGACAGGATCTCCCTCTTGTTGAGGCTGGTCTCAAATTCCTGGGCTCAAGTGATCCTCCCACCTCAGCCTCCCAGAGTGCTAGGATTACAGGTGTGAGCCACCACACCTGGCCCAAGTTAAGTATTCTTAAGTGTGCAGCTGATTGAATAGTGTTAAGTATACTCATTTTGTTGTGTGACCAATCTGCAGAAATTTTTCATCTTCTAATGCTCAAATTTTATACCCATTGAACACCTCATCCCATTTCCCCTTCCTCTCAGCCGTTGGCAAGTACCATTCCAATACCTTTTTTGAGTTTGGTGACTTTACAGAACTTATGTAAGATGAATGATATTGTATTTTTCTTTTTGTCAGTGGCTTTTTGTAGTTAGCATTCCATCCTGAAGTTTCATGCATGTCATAGCATGGACCAGGATGTCATTTTGTAAGACTCAATAATTTCTCATTGCATCTATGTTTTTGTTTATTCCTTCTTCCATCGGTGGACATTAGCGTTGATCCTCTTCTTGGCTGTTGTGAACAATGGTTTTCAAATATCTTTCTTTAAGGTTCTGCTTTCAGTTCTTTTAAATTGAATGTAAAAGTACTGGGAAGTGGCTTGCTGGAATACATGATAATTATTAATGTTTGAGGAACCTACCATACTCTTTTTCCATAAGAGCTGAGCCATTCTATATTCCTTTGAACAATGACATGGGTCCTAACTCACCAAAACTTTTTATTTGGGGTGTTTGGATTTTTTTTTTTTGTAGGTGAGACTTAGGAGCTCTTGACCTTGCCACATGATTTGCCAGCATTTTCTCCAGTTTCATGGATTGCCTATATTCTGTGTCGTTAATCTCCTCTGATGCACCAACATTATGAATTTTTTTCTTTTTTTGAGACTGGGTTTTGCCCTGTCACCTAGAAGTGCAATAGTGTCATCATTGTCACTGTAGCCTCAAATTCCTGGCCTCAAGCCATGGCCTCATGGCTGAGCCCCCCAAGTAGCTGGGATCACAGACACCAACAGCCCTGCCCAGCTAGTTTTTAAAATTTTTGGTAGATATGGGGTCTGATTGTTTCCCAGGCTGGTTTTGAACTCCTGGCCTCAAGCAATCTCCCACCTTGGCCTCCCAACCTGATGGGATTACACGTGTGAGCCACCACACCCTGCCTAAGCATTGTTCAATTTTGATAAATCATACTTGCTTTTTTCTTAAGGCTGAACCCCCTGGAGTTGGTACCTCTCAACATTGTCCCCATTTATCCTTCAGCTATGCATCAATTATAATTTAGATTTTCCTACCTCAGTACTGTTTCCCACGAAAGTTTCTGCTCATGGGTTTCTGTTTCACTAAATTATAACTCTCTTATTAGTTAGGCTTTTAAGGTCCCATCCCAAAACCATCAAATGTTCAATTTGGTTAACGAGCATTTTCAAGGATCCAGTGTCTCAGGATTGCTGTGCTAACTTTTTCCTCCACACTAAAGAGTAGGACTTTGTTATGACAGATGCTACAGATGCACTTTAGAGGGAGACATTAGTGGTGACCCAGGCAACACACCTTTCTCCCTGGATTCACCAACAAGGCACATTCTTCTGTTCTGCTGTTGCTTTAGCGAGTGTTCCATTCTAGCATCAGAATTGCTGTGTGGGAGGAAGTGAGTGTGGACACAGAGTAAGAGTATGATGACCAAGGCATGGAATAAAGGTTGGGAGTCCACAGCAGCATGTGAACTTCTACAAAATAGAGCATACGAATCTCACCCATTCTCCTCAACACTTTTGGAATGTTTCAGGACTCAGTGACCTTTGAGGATGTGACTGTGAACTTCACCCTGGAGGAGTGGGCTTTGCTGGATCCTTTCCAGAAGAATCTCTATAGAGAAGTGATGGGGGAAACCTTTAAGAACTTGGCCGCTATAGGTAAGGGTGACAACATTCCTTCACTCAGTGAATTAGAGAACAAATGTTTCTTACTTATAAGTGCTGTTCAGTGATTTGGAATATGGACAGGTCATACTTTGGTGAATAAATCAGGCATGGGCTCAGTGTACTGTGACCATAGAATCTAATATTATTTAATAATTGTAACCATGAAGGACTATATTTCTGGGTTTGTATTTTAGGAGAAGA